ATAAAATTCTGTCAACTGCTATATCTAGCGTTAGTTTTCTAGCCATTTTCAGTTTCTGAATGCTTAAGTTTCTTTCTTAATTTTCAGCAAAAATTTATTAGTTAATTCAAAAATACAAAAATATTCCTGATTTCTGCTTCATCTCACAAATCATTATGCAAATATGCATTTACAACTTTTAAAGCCTGAAAAATGCATTTCTGCGATGTTACCGATTTTTATTGATGATTTTTGTAGGTGCTTTATTTTTTACCACGGCATTTTCGACGTCGATGTTTTAAACTGCGAAGTTTTTTATTAACCTTTTTCCCTATAACGATGTTTTAGAATTGTGATCTTTTCTCTCACGATATTTTGTACGACGACATTTTCGTCTTGCGATGTTTTATGTTTTCTCCACGACGTTTTGGTCCGTGATGTTTTCTCCTGTAACCCTGTTTCATAGAAGTAAGTTTGGTTATGAAAATATTATCCGGCAGTATTTAGCCAGTTAATTTGGATAAATGGGGTTTTACTGTATAACAAATGCAAGTGTATGTCTCCCCACATACATTCCTATGCAAATTAAAATAAAGAGGTAGTAAATAATTAATAATTTAAATAACTAGGTATGTGTGTATGTATATTGGGTCATATAAAATGTCTCCGTGCTTTTTTGGTACATTATTGAACAAAAAATTTCTTTATTGAAAATAAATTTTAATCAAGTACATATTGACGATTATTATCTAATATCTTTTGCCATTTTTAGGGTAACTTCATAATTCCATCGGTGTAGAACTTCTATGGTTTGTAGTCGAAAAACTTTGGGCGAGTGATTTTCAATAGCTCTTCGGTCGGCCAATTTTTTACCATCAAGAGAGTTTTGCAGAGATCGAAGAAAATGGTAGTCAGACGGTGCAAGGTTTGGGATGTATGGTGGATGCGTCAAAACTTCCCAACCAAGTTCCGAGTTTCGAGAACTTGTTTCGAGTCATCAAAGATGTGTGTGGCCGCGCATTGTCCTGATGGAACACAACTCCTTTCTTTTTATTGCTTCGTTCAAACGGTCGAGTTGTGTACAGTACAGGACCGAATTGATGGTTTCACCAGGTTGCAATTCATGTGGCACCCAAACATTGAGCTTTTTGTTGTAACCTGTTCTTTTCAAATGATTCAAATGTAGGTGATTCAAATGTAGTTGATTTCAAATGTAGTTAATGTTTAGTGCCTCTGATATTTCCTGACAGCTTGCGAGACGGTCTTGCTCCACCAGTTGCAAAATTTCATCGACTTTTTCTGTGACTGGCCGATCAGAGCGAGGTGCATATTTGATATCGAATTTCCGGAACGGAATCGAGCAAACCACTCCTGGGTCCTTCGTTCACTCACAGTATTCTCATCTTCCACTTCACAAATTTTTCGGCATGTTTTTGCAGTCTTTTTACCTTTTTTATAGTAAAAGAAGCATCCCGTAACATATTTCTTCAGATATTTCACTCATTTTCAAATCAATATAACTTTTTACACGAGCAACGAATTAGAAAACTGTTTTCTCAAACAATGGAAGTGAATGTCACCTTTCAAGTACATGTTCGTTTGAGACAATCAGATGAGTGTTACCGGATATAAAGGCATCAACACCATCAAAAAGCCGGAGAGACGTATAAAATTTTCTGTTGGTGTTTGTTGTTCGCGCCGGTTAAAGAGCCCACTCTACATAAACATAGGTAAATAAAACAAGAGTCTGTCTGTGGTTTTGTGACGATTTTCATTTTTCGCATTGCGCGGAGCGTATGGCAGACTAATAAGAAATTTGGTACAACCACGAATTTATGTGGAGCTTACTTAATTAAATTTTTTTTACAAAATGTTTATATAGGTATTTACTTGATTGTGGACACGTTAAATTTTCATTTTTGCGAAATGCTTTTAATTTCGAAAAAAATGATAATATTTTGTATTTTGATTTTTTGAAGCTTCCGAGTACACTTCTCACATCTCACATCTTTAAAAATGTGATTTTGTCTTATTGTATTGTTTTGATAGATTTTTAAAGAAATCGCATCATTTTGAATAGTTTCATTCTTTTAGAAATATTTGGTTTGGCAACAATTTTTCATCGTATTTCTCTGTCACTGTTTTTAAGAGATTGGCATATTTCGTTGTCATTTATATATATATATATATACAATACATTTTTATTGAATTTTTTTTATAAAGTTGTTCTGCTGCAGAGTAAAAAATTTTTTGTTTTTTGAGTTGCTTTCATGTTATTTTTTGCTTATTTCACTGTTTGTAAGATATTGAAAAGTTTGTATGATCTTTTCTTCAACGGAAAGGTGTTTAATTTTTTATTAGGATAATTAATATTTGTATTAAGGCTATATGCTTATTCATCTAATTTTTTTCTCTTGAAAGATAAAATATAAATTAATTGTACTTTGCTTTTCAGAATTTTTGGTTTTTTGTATTCTTTTATTTATGGCTTAATGTCATGTCTTAAGATATTGAAAAGTTTTGAGTGATTTTTTTTAACAAAATTCTTAACCTCCTTAACCATTTGAGTTTTTATGATTTTGCAAAGGGAAGTTGGTTAATTTATTTATTGAATAATTAATATTTGTATAAAGGGATATTGCTTATTGTAAATTTTATACGTAATAACTTTTTTTTTAATGAGGTTGTTCTGCAGAGTAAAATTCTACGCAGTTTTTAAATTTAACGTTTGGTGTTCCCTTCAGACGTTTTTACAGTACATTTAAAAGCCAGACGAAGGCTAGCAGCTAAGCTGCTAGTAGAAGTATAAAATAATAGAGAAATCGTATCAAGATACAGTGCTACTTTGGTAGACGGTTGCACGGATTTTGGCGAGTTTTTGGCAATTTTTCTTTTGGCGAGTAATACGACTTATGGTAAACCCATTGCTGGATAAGTTATTTATGGTAACCGATACTTTGTTGACATTTATTTAAAAAATAATGCGGGTATTATGCATGCATAAATTCCGTTTTTTAAATATTATTTATGCTTCTAAATATTAAAAATCAATTTAATTTTGCATTTTTAGTTGAAATAAAAATTTTATTCTTTATCATATTTTATGAAATTTATGCTGTGGATGATGTAATCAGTGACGTCACCTTACTTTAAAAATAATTGGTTTTAATATCTATAAATTTAATCTAATGTTTTAAACATTATTTATGGCTGTTAAAATATTAAAATACAATTTAATTTTGCATTTCTTTTTAAAATGATTTTATTATGTATTATTTAAATAATTTTAATTCTAGGCGTGATGTAATCAGCTCTCTGATTGGTTTTAGAATAATTGTGCATTAATGAGCTGTAATCAGCTCCCTGATAGGTTGCTGAAAATTTGTGCATTACCGCGCCATTTTAAAATTTAATTCATATCTTCGAATTCCTTCAAAAATTGTCTCCTTCAAAGATGAATGTTGTTTTTGATAAGTACCAAGAATTTTTGGTTTCGGAATCAAAAAATTGTCCTTTGAGACCTTATTTTCGCCAGCCTGGCTTTCCTAATCAAAGATTTATTATAAATTCTTACAAGGGTCAGAGGAAATTTATTTTAAATTTTTGAAGGAAACGTCGTTTCTTCAACTGTTCTCAATGAAGTGCGAAAATGTAGATCACAGATGAAGACCGTTAGAAGAGCCGATTCTGAGACGGCCGTATATGATATTGTGGCCATGTTGGAAGAAATAACCGCTGTAACGGTAAGAAAATTATTAGACATTCCTCCTTTTTTACCGACAATAAACTAATTGCTGTCATTTTAGCTCTAGTGTACGAAGCGTTCTTGTTTACTTATTTTAAAGTATTTAATTTAAGTAATATTTTAATTCTTTTAAACGTTGGTATGATGGTTTTTAATTCGATATTCAATTTATGTAATATTTTAATCCAATTAAACGTTTGCGCAATGTTTTTATAGTGGTATTTTTATTCTATTTCTATGCTATATGAAAGTAATAATTTAACCTTTCTTTAGTATTTTATACTCGTAGTAAATGTATTTATTCTATATAATATATATATATATATATATATATATATATATATTATATCTATATAACGTATTTTAAAGTATTTAAATTTAATAATATTCTAATTCTTTTAAATGTTGGATGATTTTTTATTTCGATATTCAATTTCAGTAATATTTTAATCTAATTAAACGTTGGCACAATGTTTTTATAGCGGTGTTTTTATTCTCTTCTTTGCTATATAAAAGTAATAATAACCTTACTTTAGTATTTTATACTCATAGTAAATGTATTTATTTACACTTGCCTGCCATCTTAAAAAACGACATTTTCAACAAAAAAATTAATCCATTATTTCTAACGATATTTATTTTTTTTTTAAAGTTTCGAATTTTTTACTATGCGTAAAAACAGCGTTTTTCAAAATGGCTGACGTTTGTTGAAATCGCGCCAACAATTGCGCCAACGTAAATCGCCAAAAATCCGTGCAACTGTCTACCAAAGTAGCACCCAAAATCAATATAGCTAATATTTTTCTATTGTAACAGATCTTTGTTATAGTATTGCGTACGCTACTGCATAAAACTTTCCTAGATTTTAGGCTGTAATATTGAGAACAAATCTAAAACGGCAGTTTCAAGTTTAGTCTTCAAGTATAATATTTTCAATAACTAAATAAAAAATATTTTGAAATATTTTAAATCAATTTAAAGTTATTTTTAATGGAATAAATATAGTTTTTTTTTTTTTACTTTTATGGCATAATATTTTGTGAACTATAGAATTAAACTGAATTAAAGAATTTGAAATTAAAGAATTTAACTGAAAAACTGATTAGTTTGCTGATATTTTTTAAGATTCGTGATATGAGATAAAACATTCATTCCTATTTAAATCGTTTCAGACAAGTATTTTATTACAGTAAAGTAGATTTCTGTAATAGTAAAGTGAAATAATATAATTTTTTAGCAAGTGAAGTTAAATGTATGAATGTGTTTGAATTTTCAGTGTTCTACCTTGTACCGTTTGGCTGCAAGACGATGGGGATAATTCTACTCAAGGATCTCGTGATAACGAGACCAAATTAAGTTTTATTAGCGAAGAAGAAAAGAAAAGGTAATTTTTATGTCTTTTAATTATATAACACCCAAAGACGTTTCTAGCATGTTAGTAATTTCAATTCACACGAGATTGAGTTCAAAATTCTAAAACAATTTTTACTCTTAAAGACCTCGAATATGTATATTTCAGCTCACTAACGTAAACCGCACTCACGTAAAATAGCTGTCGAGTCATTACGATTTTATTATCTTGGAGATGTAAATGTGCAGTATCCCCGCCAGGTGTCGAATCCTGGACCTATCGAATACGCATGGAGTATGTTTCCAATTACACCAAGAAGGCATGCAGAAAGGATGCGAAAAATACTTTATAAAGCATCACAGAAAATTTAGAGGGACACGTTTTCAAGGAAAAGGGGATTGCACTTAAAATTAGATTTAGAATAAATCGATTTGAATATTATTTAAAATAAACAGTTATGACAAAGTAGGCAAGTATTTATTAATCATTCGGCATGATTTTGGCTAAGAAAACTCAAAACTACCATGATAAAGAAATTATAATTTTTTAAATTTTAATACCAAAACACCCCTAGTACTTTATATAATCTATTATTTATTTATGTACTTTTAGCATATTGCCTTAATTTATTGGACATACATGCACGTATATATACGTTTATTTCAGGCCGCATATATACGGCCTAGATATAATACCAAAATACCCCTAGTATTTTATAATATATTATTTAAGTACTTTTAGCATATTGCCTTAATTTATTGGACATACTTCAAGATGCACGTATATATACGTTTCTTTAAGACATCACAAAAAATATTCTAGGCCGTATATATACGGCTTTGCCGGTCATAGGGTAATTTTTACTAACCGAACACAATTACTATTTCTTACTTGCACCTATTTTATAGAAAAACGAACTCAAATTTCAAAGCAAACGTTTTTGGCAAGAAATGTGATAATAAAGATAATAAACAGCACTTTAACCATTAAATTCTTCACAGACGGTGAAAATTCAAATAATCTTAATACCCGAGAAATTTCGTGGTATTTCGTTTCTAGGTAAAGCGACGTCGAAACGTCGCTAAAACAAGGCAAACGTTTTTATAAACGCAATATTAAAATAGAGAGGGTGCTACCGACACTTTATTTTCCCTCGCAAATAAATAAATAAATAAAAACTAAAACTAAAAATAAAAAATAAACAAATAAATAAAATTTGCTAATTGTTGTTGTCTTCTCCATGTATTTCATATGTATTTGCCAGAGCCTCAAGCCTCTGGTTGGACTTCTACTTCCACCCCAGTCGAGAGGAAGCACCTCGAGGGGGGTGATCCATGGGTCTTCCCTCAGATGGGACGTCAACTGTTCTTGCGGTTTTCGCGGGGAAGACGCGGTCGCACTTCATTACCTGCTCTCCTGCCCTCTGACAGAGCACCTTCGACAGCAGTTCTTTCCTTCCGACTACATCACATGTCTTGTGAATAGACTGTTCACGGACTATTACTGCAACAAGAGCATCTTAGAGATAATGAAGCAAGTGAATGAAAATAATTATATCCAAGAAACTACAGATTAATGTAAAATGTAGAAAGGCGGCCTAATCGTCATATTGCTAGCAATGACTAGGATGACTTCCTAACCCTGTAGTGCCATTAACTCAGTTTGGCGGAACAGGTTAAGTAAAGTGACTATATCCCTCTTCCCTACCACCAAACACGAGAGGAATTTTGCCTAACCATATATTTAGAGCACTCCCATGCCGCAAAGACATTTTACATTTAGAAACATCCATGTCTTCGCCGGGATTCGAACTCGAGCCTTTCGGTACCGAAGTAGGCTCCCCTATCCACTAAACCAGTGGTAATCAACCCTTTTTTAGTGCTGGGACACACAAGGCAGTTTAAGAAAACGAAGCAGACACCACATAACATTTCTGTCCCGGGTGATATTCAAGCCATCCCTTGGCGATATTATCACGTTACCCTTGGCGATATTATCACGTTACTAGTTAACGCTAGCCCTAAGGGAAAAAAACGCGCCCTCATAAAGAAGATAGGAAAAAAAAAAAAAAAAAGGATCGAGATCGAAAAAAATATACTGTTGCGTTATTTTCTTTTCTGACACTAGTTCGTACGTTATTACCTTCTTTCATGTTCGTACGGGGTTCGTGTGGATTTGGAGTGAATAACGACGACAGCACTTGATGGAATATCGAAACACACTTTATTGGCCGATATTAATCAGGACAGCTCCAAAATCTCGTTTACAGTTATCAAAGATCTACTATACACTCGCTGGAACAATCAACAACACAGCCTTCCCACTCACCGTAAAATTCAACTCATCAGCATTATCGCCAAAAATTTTTTAAATGAGTATATCTTTAGAATTTCTGATACACAGTCTTGCGCGCTGGAGATAATTTTTTTCCATACAGTGTTGCCATTGCTCGCTTTGAAATCCTTGAGTTTGTTAATCAAAACATCGTTAAAGTTCATATTCCAAATTTGGGCTACCAGATGCTAATTTTCGGTGGATGATTACGTTATTAAAAATTGGATGGCTTCAGGCACTGTTGTTTTATCACAATGCGAGAAACACGCATACATTCATGCAGATTCTTCGTTATTGAATTTCTTTAAATATAATACAGGGCTGTAGTATTTGGTGGCAACAGTTTGGAAAATGAAACGGACATTTAAAGGCTTCGACGGAAAAGGCCAAAACGAAATTAATAGCCCTTCTGGGCTAACGACCTGGAAGCTAAAAGAGCTTACTTTCCTTCATAATTTTTTTTTTTTTTTACTCTGTAATCAGTTATCTAAGAATTATTATTTAATTGTTGAAATTTCTCTCTTTATGTGAAAGATTTTAGAAATTTTTCTGCTTTCAATCGAAGACAGTATTTTTCTTTTCAAAACTATCCTTATGACATAATTGCTATTTATTTCACTTTCGCCAGTTACAAAATTTCTTATATTCTTCATAGATTTAACTTCTGCTCTTAAAGATTTCAGACAAAATTCGAAGTCTCAGAGAACGTAGAATATACTTTCTAGTGCGTTTTATGATGCATCCATCAACATCTATCAAACTAGCTTTTGATATTTTTCCTTAAGAAATGTGAATATCATGTCAGAAAATCAAAAATGAACAGATTTTCGATCACTCATCATTACATACAGTGTCTCACAAAAGCGATGGGACACCTGTGCTTTACAAAAGGAAACTATGGTAAAATAAGTTTAAAAAACATGTAAAAATTTTTTGTGGGTGTGTTTCATACTTAAATTTAGTAACAATTATTACATCACATACATTTTCTCAAAATATTAAAATATTAATTTAATAAAAATACAGTTGTTTAGAACGGAGCAAAAAATGGCTCACATAAGTGATGGGACACTTACTTTTCCATCAAATATTTATCCAAAAATTTTATTTTTTAAAAGGTTTTAATATTCTATTGGATTTCCGTTCACTTTAAAAACATGATTTAATCTTCTTGGGATGGATTTGACTAATTTTTTTGTGATTTCTGGAGTGCTTTTACCCCATTCTTCTTGAAGCACCGATTTTAATTGTTGTTTTGCAGAAGAAATGGTGGTGTTTGCGAATTCTTGATTCCAATTTTTGCCAAATATTCTTCTATGGGATTTAAGTCTGGAGATTGTGGTGGTGTTTTTATTATTTCCAGGACAGAGTTATACAGCAGCCAGGGTCTAACGTTCAAAGCAGTGTGCTTGGGGTCATTGTCCTGGTAGAATTTAAAATCGTTATGAAGGTTCAATTTTCGTGCTGAAGATTTCAAATTTTGATTTAAAATGTCAATATACTTGTAATGATCCATTATACTGTCAATAAAAACAAGATTACCAACTCCAGCGGACAACATACACCCCCATACCATAAGTCCTTCTCCAGCATGTTTTACTGTTGGCACCAAGTTCTGTTTGCAAAGTTCTTCCCTGGGTTTTCTCCGCACCAAGATTCTACCGTCAGAACCAAATATATTAAATTCACTCTCATCAGCGAATGTAACTTCATTCCAGTAATCAGAATTCTTATTTATGTTGGATTTTGCGAAAGCCAGTCTGAGTTTTTCTTTCGTTTCACTTACGAAGAATATTTTCCTGGCTGCTCTACCGTGATATCCAGTAGATCGAATTACTCTTCTATTAGTCTCAGGATTAACAATTACTCCATATAATTCTTGAAAATCAGCAGCAACTTTAGGAGCACTCATTCTTGGATTTTTTTTTAATATTTCGAACAATAATTCGCTTTATTCCATTGGATAGCTTTGATGGTCGGCCAGATCTTCTTTTATCCTGAATCATATGATTCTTTTTATATCATTTAATGATATTGAAAACTGTTAAATGACTCAAGTTAACTGTTTCGGCAGTTTCTCTAATAGATTTTCCACGTTCAATATGCAAAATTAATAACTAATTTTGGAATTTCAGGCAAAGTTTCTTTTCGTTTAGCATTCATGGCTGCACAGAGCTAAAAAACGCAAAAATTCCAAAACAAACTCGAGAGAAATACTGCAGACGATTTTATAAATTACTGCCAATTGCTTGTGAGTAAAAATAAAAACCCCCAAAAATATTTTTATTGTAGTACGTAGTAGTATCTAATGGTGTCCCATCACTTATGTGAGCCATTTTTTGCTCCGTTCTAAACAATTGTATTTTTATTAAATTAATATTTTAATATTTTGAGAAAATGTATGTTATGTAATAATTGTTACTAAATTTAAGTATGAAACACACCCACAAAAAATTTTTACATTTTTTTAAATTTATTTTATTACAGTTTCCTTTTGTAAAGCACAAGTGTCCCATCACTTTTGTGAGACACTGTATCTCTCAAACATTTTTTGATATCCTGTCAGAATTATTTAAATTACTGCAGTTCGTTATTTAGACCGCCGATCGTTTGTTATTAAATTACTGCAGTTCGTTTTCGTTTTTCGCACAGTGTTGCCATAGCTCGCTTTGAAACCGTTTAATTGTTTAATCAAAAATTCGTTGAAGTGTTACAAAATCTGAAATCGATAATAAAACAAATTTCAAATCCAAATTAGGGCTTCCGCATGCCCATATTCTATGGAAGATTACGTTATTCAAATTTGGATGGCTCTAGGTACCGTTGTTTTATCACAATGCGAGAAACATACATACATTTATCCAGATTCTTAATTATTTAATTTCTTTAAATATAATACAGCGCGATGATATTTGGTGGCAACGATGTGAAAAGTGATACAGCCTTTTAAAGTTTCGACGCAAAATGCCAAAACGAAATTAATAGTCCTTCAGGGCAAATTGCTCTTTTGGATTAAACATTTAAATGCTATGTTTAAGCACATGATTTATTTTTAACCCTTCCATGATTGCGAGATTAAGCAATAATATCTTCCCAAATGTGCGCGGTATCTCCCAGTCATAAATTTGTAATGCGAACTCGTCCGTTTGTGCTTATTGGGGTGCATGAACGGAACGCGAGCTGAGCTCTGATGATGAGTTTAAGTAAAAGAGCAAAGGGATAAGTAAAAGGCTTCTATAATTAGGTTTTGAAAAAAGTATTAACTTGAAAGTATTTTTTTTAGTATAAAACAATTGAACCAATACAATTTAAGTAAAAAATATAAGTACTATTCGGTTTCGAGGGCCGTAAAAAATCGCCAAACTATTGTTGATGCCAATGCTGCCAAAAATAATTGCGGCAACCCTAATAATTGCGGCAAGAAAGAAAGTATAATAGTAAATAACTATCTAAGATTGATGTTTTAATTTAGATGAAAGGTTAATTTCATATAATACTTTTTTATTAGTATAATTTATACAAAAAAGACTAAACATGAACTGAATGGAAGCACAAGAGTAAATAACTATTTCAGAACGTTATTATAATTTATATAAAAATTCCTAAATATAACTGAATGGATGCCTGCATCGCTATTTCGCTTATTACCGAGTTATTGCTAAATCATAATTTCATCTCGTCGGTTGTTCAAACATAATTTTCTATTATGAATGATGCTTTTTCTTTGAAAAAATTCTCGGTAAAAGGCAGAATCGCCCATTTATTTGTTTGCCGCTTTTTACAAGGGTAAAAATAATTGGAATTTTTGTCAATTTTCTTTTACTTTTTTCAAGTGAAAATAGGTTGATGTGTACATAGGATAAAGTCAACGGTGTGCGCAGTGCCATTTTTTTGCAATTCTGAGAATTATTTTTGTAGTAAAAATAGGTCGATGTGCACATGGATACCGAGTATATGCTAATTCTTAAAAACTCGTCAAGCAGTGGGTGATTCTGCACTTATCCCAAAATTCTATTGCAGAATTTTCGTCATGGGCAATTCCCAAATTGTTAAATCCATAGGATATTAAAAAAGGATTTAAAATTAAAAAAAGGATTTAAAAATTAAACTAGTATTTCAATGGCGTCTTAAGAAATATAGAAGTATATAAACTTAACGCAATCTGAAATCGGCGCGTACGCTAGATTTGGCACGCTGTTAAATGGGTGCATTTGCTAGATTTGGCGCTTTTGCGCATGTATTTTCGCTGCAATTTTTTACGGTCCTCGAAACGGAATAATACCAAAATGGGGTAATATAAGTCTCTAATAAATCAGACTGGATCGAATTTAAAGTAATAAATAGAAAGCGTTATTATTCTCTACAACGTTTATTGACGAACACCAAAGACGAACAGCTACATAACACAATTATGATATCACAGTTTCTTTTTACAAATAAACACTACTGCCATCTATTGGCAATCTGAGGATACGTAATTATAAACTCATATTTAACACTATTTATCTAATGAAAGATATCTATTAAAAACTTATAAAGCCCTCAAATTAATTATTAAAGCAATAACTAATTAGATACAAATATCAATACAAGTGTCTCGAGATGGCTGAGGTTCTTTAGAATATTCGCATTCAATATTTTCTGAAATTCTTGGTTTTAAGCAGTGTATAGATCTATCGTTTCTGAGAATCTTGTTGTCTGATCATCTTAATATTTTAATTTATACCCAAATTAATATTTTTTTTACTCATATAATGCTTAGGTTTATTGTGTTCTTTACAGCGACAGTGATGTGTCTACACTTTCGAAGACAAAATCGGAAGTGAAAAAAGCTTTTCGGAATTTTAGGGACATGCAGAAAAAGTTCCTTAAGACAGTAACTGCCAGACTTACCGTGGCACAGGTAAAACAATTTTATCTTCTGCTGATATTACATACGCATGTTCAGAAATGAAAACACATTCTGTATTGGTAAAACTTGCAAATGGCGATTAAAGATAAAAATTCTTGATATTAACTCATGCAAAATAAATCTTGATATTAATTCTGGTTTTTCTAACATGAAATTATGTTCTACCGAAAATGAAATATTATGATATTGGATAGCAGATTTAGGATTCGTAAGTTGACGAATTAGGGAAATTGTTTGGATATGTATTTAATGTTTATATTTCTTTTCTTTTGCGTTGTATATTTTATCAGTATTTAAATCATGTTATTATTAATACACGATAATCTCGTTACTGGCAACATATTTTATTTTGATACTGAATTGGTGTGAATGGCAACAATATATTCTATATTTATTCTTTTTAGTACGGAATAGTTTTCTCAGCCGCTTTGTGCTGTAGGCATTTTTCGGTTAAATAATATTTATGTTTTTAGAGCGATAATAAACTTTGTCCTTTTAGTTGAAGGCGACTAGAAATGCTAATGAAATAATATTTATGTTAGTTAACAAGCTGCTTTATATAAGTTTAGAAAGATTAAGAGTGGTTCTGTGATTGTAATAAGAAAAAAAAAAAAAAAAAAGAAAAATCAGCAACAGATTTGGCCAAATAAGCATGGTAGATTTTACACTGCTGGCCACCCAAATTGCAACACCAAGAAAGACAAGAGATATCACAACAAAATTTATTTAGTAGATAACATGTTGACCAAATATCAAATGATTAAATTTATAGACTTCTGTGAAGTGTGGTTCCTTCCAGAATCAATAGCCAGAGTAGCCGCCATTGTCGGAGATCACTGCTGCCACATGCCTCGGCATTGATTCAAAGAGACTTTGGATGTGTTCTTGGAGTACAGCAGACCAAGCACACGTTGCCAAAGTTGATTTGGTGTGGCAGATGTAATCTAAGGCAATCGTTCAGCAACCATGGACCACATGTTTTCTATCGGCGAAAGATCCGGAGAGCGAGCCGGCCAGGGAAGCAATTCAATCTGGCGATTGACGAAGAAGCCTTGGACAATACGTGCCACTTGTGGTCGCGCATTATCCTGTTGAAATATGGCTGTGGCAAGTCCTGAAGGTAAGGAAGGACAACTGGCTCCAACACTTCGGAGATGTAGCGCTGGCTATTTAAAGTACCAGCAATGCGTATTAGAGGAGTGCGAGAGTGATATCCAGTACCGCCCCATACCATAATACCTGGTGCAGGATTAATGTGGCGGTGCATAACGCAGCTGTTCATCATCCACTCTCCACGGTGTCTCCAGACTCGAATCCGACCATCGCGGTGTTGCAGACAGAAGCGTGACTCGTCAGTAAAGACAATTTCATTCCATTCTGCCGTCCACATCCTTCTTTCATCGCACCATTAGCGGCGGAGACGTCTGTGGTTCTGCGTCAAAGGTAGACGAAGCAATGGACGTCTTGCGGACAGACCACTCTTCTGTAAACGGCATTGAATGGTACGCGCAGGTACTGGATGATGCGTTACAGACTGAATGTGCTGTGCTATGGTTCGTGATGTGACTGAGCGATCCGTCACTGCCATGCGCAAAATGTTCCTATCATCACGTTAAGTGGTGCACTGAGGTGGATGCGATCGAACACGTCGGTCCGTCGTACACACCTGCATCCAACGGCCACATATTCGCATTACAGTTGTTTGGTTTCGTCCAACACGACTACCGATTTCCTTGAAAGATAATCCACACTCTCGGTAGGCCACTATCCTAGCTCTGTCGAACTCGGATACTTGATCAAACTATGATCGCTGTTTACTACGAGGCATAGTTGATCGTTTTTTTTTTTTTTTGAAAAAAAAAAAAAAAAAAAAAAAAAAAAAACCACAAGGAAGACATAATTGCCGAACCTGAAATCGTCGAAAACTCCAAGCCTTAAACAGCGACATGAAGTGGCGGCACAGGCGCGCGTGATGTGCGTCTGCGCTGAAATTCTTATCATTTGCATATCTCCCCTCCGCTAATGTATTTTGTAAATTTCATGTTATTCGCATGTTTCCTTAAAGGGTGTTGCATTTACGGTTGTCAACAGTGTACTTAAAACTGCAAGTTTTCAGTATTTTTATTGTGTAAGAGATTAGGTAGCACCGTTATATCTATAGATAGGCAATTCTATATCTTCCGTTCTACTGGGCCGATTGACGAAATTTAACTTGCGTTTTTCATGTCTCGAAAACGCGACTTGGGATATATATTAGATTTATATTTCGGTTTTACGACTCAAATTATGCCAAACTGTCAAGTTTTGTAAAAATCACACGACTAGTTTTTTAAAAAATTAGCTCTCAAAACTTTAGTTAATTGAATTTGGTACATATTTATTAATATATTTTTTTATTAAATTTATTTGATTTCTTCTTTCACAACTCAAAATTTAGGTTCGATTCAAATACAATTCGCATCTATTTTGTGATTTGCCTTTAAAAAATATATATTTTTAGTAATTTTTACAAAATATTTTTTATTATAACCTAAAATAAAAAAATTTGCCATCATTTTAAAAGTAATGTATTTCTAAGTAATGCAAAAAATTACAGCTTTTTCTTCAAAATTTCCAAAGATATACGTGAATTTATATATTGGCGCGTTTTGAAATTTCGCATATTTGTTATAAGCCATAATAACGTTAAATGTACTTTATGCACATTGTTAAAATTATTTGAAAGAATGAACGATGCACCTTTTTTCTGCGTTGCTACTTTGGTAGACGGTTGCACGGATTTTTGGCGATTTACGTTGGCGCAATTGTTGGCGCGATTTTTACAATCGTCAGCCATCTTGAAAAACGCTGTTTTTACGCATAGTTTTTATGCATGTTTTTACGTATTCGAAACTTAAAAAAAAATAAATATCGTTAAAAGTAATGGATTAATTTTTTGTTGAAAATGTCGTTTTTTAAGACGGCAGGAAAGTGTAAATAAATACATTTACTATGAGTATAAAATACTAAAGTAAGGCTATTATTACTTTCATATAGCAAAAAAGAGAATAAAAACACCGCTATTAAAAACATTGTGCCAACGTTTAATTAGATTAAAATATTACTGAAATTGAATATCGAATTAAAAACCATCCTACCAACATTTAAAAGAATTAGAATATTATTAAATTCAAATACTTTAAAATACGTTATATAAAATATAATTAACATTAAAACATATGTGACAATAATTATCTCAGCAATTTTTGAAAATAGTGTATTAATTTTTTTTAACAAAAATTGAAGTATACAATTATAAAATAAAAGAAAAATATGTACTTACATTTTTTTGAGTATTGATAAGTACCATAAAAAATCGAAATCATAATTGAATCGGATCTTTTAACCATCTTCATCTGTTATCCACATATCTCGCACTTCATTGAAGAAACAATTAGCGAAATTTCCTCCAAAAATTTAAAATAAATTTCCTCTGACGCTATTAACAATTTAAAAATAAATCTTTGATTAGGAAAGACAGGTTGGCCAAAATAAGGTCTCAAAGTGCAACTTTTTTATTCCAATACCAATAATTCTTGGTAATTACTAATAACAGCATTGTTCTTCGAAACGGAGATATCCATTCCATTTGAAATCTGAGGAATTCGAAGAAGAGATGAATAATAAAATTTTAAAATGGCGCGGTAATGCACAAAATATTCAGTAACCAATCAAGGAACTGATTACGTCATGCATAGAATTAAAATTATTTAAATAATCATTCATAATAAAATCATTTTTAAAATAAATGCAAAATTAAATTCCATTTTAATATTTAACAGCCATAAATAATGTTTAAAACATTAGAGTAAATTTATAAATATTAATAAAACCAATTACTTTTTTTAAGTAAGGTGACGTCATTGATTACATCATCCACAACATAAAATTATATAAAATATTATAAACAACAAAATTTTCATTTCAAATAAAAATGTAAAATTAAATTGATTTTTAATATTTAGAAGCCATAAATAATATTTAAAACATGGAAGTTATGCATAATAAAACGCATTATTTTTTAAATAAAATGACAACAAAGTACCGGTTACCATAAATAATTTATCCAGCAATGGGTTTACCATAAGTTGTATTACTCGCCAAAAGAAAAATCGCCAAAAAATCGCCAAAATCCGTGCAACCGTCTACCAAAGTAGCACCTTTTCTGCTAATGCACAATGAAAAAGGGAAAGGAAAATAGGTTGCTATAAATTAAGAATTTTTCAACTGAAAAAAGTGCGCCAAGATAAATTTTCTAATTTCTGAGCAAGTTTCTCTCTAAATTTTACAAAATTTAATATTTGGACATAATTTGTACCGTACAGTCGAAAAATAACAAACAAACAAAAAAAAAAAAAAAAAAAAAGTGTCATTTGAGAAAAAATTCGACTTTGTGTCAAAATACTTATGTTGGAACGGTTGCTAAGCATAAATCTAATATATATCGCAAGTCGCGCTTTCGAGACATGTAAAGTTAAATTTTGTCAATCGGCTCAGTAGAACGGGAGATATAGAACTGCCCATTTTTTTTTGTGAGTGTACTTTCGAAACATTCGTTATTAAATTAAAAGCAGTGTTAGTAAGACAAGATCATATTAATAAGCTATATGCGCAAAATAAACAACTGGAACAAAAGAAAATTGCTTATATTGAATCAGGATGCTTGCTCATAAAGTGAATTTTTTCGGATTGACCAGTATGCCATTTAGACCTTTTGTTGGCTGTTTGTAATTAAATTTATCAGATTTAAACTCTTTTTAATATTTATGTGAGCAACTTCTGAAACGATATTTTAAGGTCGACATTTCGATGATATCGATATTTTTGCAAGTTGCACTGGTAACGCTGATCCAGTCGTTGTTGTTGCTATGTCTTATCTCACTTGTCTGACAGTAACATCAGGAAAAAATCCACGAAATTTGTCGTGGAAAGAACTGCAAGGTTGCGCTTTTCTTTTGGCAGGATCCTTGAGCACCATACTGGCGACAGTTCGACTTTGCTCAGTTCCGCTCCCAATTTTTATTATCCCGCCCTTCTTTCCCTACCACCAACCTCTCAAGAGGACTTTTGGCTCGCCGCGTATTTAGAGTGCCCCATGCCACACAGACACTATACATTTACAAACACCCATGCCTTCTATGTGATTTGAACCCAGACACTTCGGTGCGGCAGTCAGCGTCGCTAACCACTATCCGGTTGGGCGGCTGATGCACTTCGAATTATGGTAACTTGGCGATTTTTTGGCGAAAATTTGGCGACCAACCCTATTACAGCAACCTGCTAGTTTTTTTTTTTTTTTTAAACTGAAAATTTTTCCAACAATCTGCTAGCCGAATTACGCTTATGCTAGAACTTTTATGGAACAAAAGTGCTTAATCATGACGAAAATTAGGTGCGAAATTGGGACAAAGTGCAGAATCGCCCACTGCTTGCCGCGTTTTTAAGAATTGCACATACACGGTATCCATGTACACGTCGACGTATTTTCACTTAAAAAAACATCCCAGAATTGCACAAAAATGGCATTGCGCACACTCTTGGTTTTATCCATGTACACATCGATCTATTTTCATATAAAAAGTCAAAGAAAATTGACAAAAATCCAATTCTTCTTACTCTTGTAAAAAGTGCCAAACAAATAAGTGGGCGATTCTGTACTTTAGCAGCGAAATTGTTTTTAAGTGCTTCTTAGCTAAAATCACGATTGGAATTTTCCGGAAAATGTCGCATTACATGTCTCATGATCTCTCATTTCTCTGAGACAAAATAATCTGTGATTCGAACCGTGTACTTCTCAGATTATTCCTAAAGTCCTAGCTAGTAACCTTTATCGCCTTATCAAAGTGTCACCAAACTACCTGTTAACATATTCCAAAGATTAGCCCTTGTTTTATTTACTATATCAGCTGTTACAATGAAGTTATTTGCGAAAATTACACCTATTTTGTCCAAGACTCGTGAAAAAAATGACCACTTCTGATGGTTTAGTGTCAGTGACCACTGCCCACCGAACACATCCCTACAAATCAGTCTCTATGGTACTCATGGAAACAGTTTTTCTTTTTCAAGCAGAGTGCAACTTTGCATTTGCTGCATTCCCACACTGTTCTTACAGACATTTCTTGGTGCTGCAGAGTGCACATCGTCGTGATGATGTCTTCCATGGCTGATGCATCAACTGGCTTATGTTTTTTGACTGCCATCTAGTGAGCTACAAGGGAACTTCAGAAACGGTCCGTCTTTAAAACCATTCACACGAGTGAGTAAGACGTTCAATAGGAAAGGTGGATACTGTAGGTTACCCATCGCCCTTCAAATTGTAATATAAATTTCCTAAGTCCTGTCATCAATTTCCTAAGTCAACTTCAACTTCTTCAACTTGAGCTTTTTCATATTTGTACTACAGGGAAAGTTAATAGCTGACGTTAGAAGTGAACGTAAATTTCTATAATCAAGCAGATGTATACATGAAATGAGTTTAAATAAGATTATAGTAACACGTAATAAATATATATCTTTATATATATAAGCGGATAAAGTGTGTGTCGCCGATAGTTTATTGTTGCCACTCGGAAAAATGAGCGCAGAAATTAAAGTTTCCGCAGTTTTTAATTAATATCTCAATCGATTAAAGTCGTACCAAGATGAGAACGATATCGATGGATTAAGAGAATTTTTTGGAATCCGAGGATATGCGTCTCGAATTTCAACTCGGCGCAGTTCCGCAGATATTCGAGAAAAAATAATTTGGCACGTAGCCAAATCCCTCTAATAGGGAAATAAATAAATAAAAGTGATTTAAATAAAAGTGAAGGAAGAAAGTGGAGAATGTAGGAAAAATGTACGGGGAAAATTAGTTTTCAATTAATTTCTCGGCTAATTAAAGTCCCAAGAAGACGGGAATGGTCAAAATGGCATGCCACGGACCTGCGGAATCCAACAGTGTGCTTCACTAAGCCCGGGAGCCAGCCGTTTCAGAGGAGAGGATGTTACTTTACCCCCTATATATATGCGGCTTAAGTGTCTGTTTGTCGCGGATAGTTTATGTTTTGCTTGCATAACTGTACTAGCCAATGGGGTGAAGTTGCCAAGACACAGGGTTGCCGTTTCAGTTGAGACGTAGACAATTTCCTATGAAAGCTTGCCTTTGCTATGACCATAAGTCTCAGGGCAAACGCTTAAGCGTGTTGGCATTTTTTTACCTGAGCCTGCATTTGGACACGGTCAACTTTATGTTGCCTGTTCAAGAGTTCGTGAAAGAACGGACGTAAAATTAAAAATATTGGATGGTCCTCTGCAAGGCGAGCTTAAAAACGATGGAAAGATCTACACAAGAAATGTTGTGTACAAAGAGACCTTTGACATGTGAATTGACATTTCACTAACATTTCATAAATCGCCTTTATTGATTGAGCTAGCGGTGGGCTCTTAAGAAATGTACCGCCAATGGTTTCCTTCATTGTACTCTACTTTAAGCAATTAAGCAAATAGAAGGGGGAAACTCCGTGGGGCAGTAAGCAAAGGGGTGTCCTCGCCGCCTGCCCTGGGTAATTCAGTTTGAATTAGCAGACACCTTAGCACAAATTATTTTAATTATAATTTATAATATCTAGAACAGCGGTCATTTCGTATGACCGCCGGGCTTTCTAGTAGCTATATAATCAAGCTAGTTCTCAAAATAATTGCAGTTTTTCTTAGTGAAGCAAGCCTTTTCGCAAGTGTTTGAACTGTAATTAAATTTTTGTGCACATTGTTTTTTTAACATAGAAATAAAGATTATGTGAATTAAAAACCTTAAACTACATTTAGTGCTTAAAAGGTAAATGAAATAGGGCGTTTTATTCACAGGTTGTCGACGGAGTGCGAGCGGGTGCTGAACCAACATTTGACTTCATTATGTTTGTTTTAATTGCCAGGTGAGTAACATTTTAAAAATTTTATTTACTTTTTAATTTTATTTATTTACTTAATTTTTTGTGTTCTTACATCTGATCTTTTCATCCAGGAAAACAGCGTGCTTTATTGACTTTAAATTTATTTACAAAAATTTATAAATTAGTAGGTAAATTTAATTTGCTTTGCTTGATTTTCCTTTTTATTGTTTTCTCAAGTTATTGCGCAAACAGATATGCAGGTATCTTAATATTTGAAGGTTATTCTTTGTTTAATTTAGTTGGGAGTGACAGATATTAACGGCCTGGCTCTTTCGCTAAATAAAAAGAAAAAATTTGATGTGTACACCACATGACTTCCTAGTACGGAATATTAAATTATACGCATTTTTTTCTTGCATTTCATTTAAACTTATTGGATTGAATTAAATCTACTTCGCCGACAGCGCATAAACCACAATAGAATAAATGCAGTCTTTAAAATTCACTCTAGTATTTGTTTACCATAGCGACACTCTGGCGCTAGATTCACTTAGCAGTATTAATAATTATATGACAGTTAACTTATATAATAATTATATAACGGAAACTAAGTTATACAATCCAATAATTATATAACAGTTAACTTATATATTTTGTTCATATTATAACTCATAATGCACAAAATTTATATCATTTAAAGAATAGAATTATGTAATCGTTGCCACATGTTTTATTCAAATACTATAATACAGCTAGAACGATGTATAAAAGAAATTAAGCAAACAAAACAAAAATGAAACAGTTTTTCACAGACGATTGAGTATTTCTCATTCAATTAATTCAGTTCTCACTTCGCGACAAGGCAAAAATACATAAAAACTCAAAATATCTGTGTTAAAAATTACGAAGTAAATCTTAAACACTTATTTCCTCGAAAAAAATTCTAGAAAGGATTAAGCATGATTTAATTCGCAATAATAAATGAAGGCGTTATCTTTGTTGTTGCGAAGCTAAGTTTCTCTAGATTGTCAACAAATCCACTATTCTGCTGTTTCAAATATAAACAAGCAATGGCCGTCATCAAAAAAAATATTAGGCTTAGCGGCACTTAAACAACTTTAAAATTGTTGATAATTTTAAAAATATTGCTTACAGACTTACTAAACACATAAAAATCTTAACCGGAAGATAAAAACAACATAATTCAATCATTTTTAAAGCAAAAAAATGCACAGTTTACAAACATATAAGAGTAAAGAAACTTGATTGAGCCTGGTAACGGAGTGGATATATATTTATATAAATATATTTATATACGTTTGGTGCGGCTGATAGCAACCAAAATACGAGGTGCACATCTACATGTTATAGCAGTCCTATATACAAAATTTCAACGTTCTGAGGCTACTCGTTTTTGAGTTATGCGAGATACGTACGTTCGTACATACAGACGCCACGAAAAATTCTCTTGAGAATTAATTTTAAAGCAGTTTTATAATTTTTTTGAAGGAAAAGAGTATTTTATTCTGTCCTTACGTACAGATATCACGCAAAAACATCGTTAAATTGCATTCGATAGCGGTCAAAATGGATATTTTCGTTGAAATATGCTGCCTGAAACTTTTCGCGATTACAATACTTCCTTTTTACTTCGTACAAGGAAGTAAAAATGATTAATGCACAATGAGATAAATATTGCCTTTTTAAAATGTGTATTCATTATATGTGCTCATAGAGTAAAAGTCTGTATGTTTGCTTGTCCTCTAATAACTCAGTCAGTATTATAACTATATTCACCGAACTTTCTGAAATTCTTTTATGGGTCCTGGAAAAGGTCGATGTCCACTTTCCCCCCAAAAAAGTAGCTGAAATAAGAGATATTAATTAAAAACTCGAAAAACGATCATTTTCGCCTTCATATTTCCGAGCGGCAACAGTTTCGCAAGCTGGAGATGTCAATCTGCTTTATTTCGAAAGTTGTTGCCACTGCTAGATTTCAAATCCTAGAGTTTGCTAATAAAATATTTCTGAGTTTTACGATGAAATAAAATTAGCATTGCCAAACATTAAATGCATTATTCTCGATTCCAAAAATTCGTGGGAAGCTGTTTCGACTATTCCCATCTTCGCACGACTATAATCAGACGAAATATTAATTAAAAATTCTAAAAGCTCTCTTTTTCGCAATCATTTTTCTAATTGGTAAGAGTTTCGCGCGTTGGAGATAAAAAATGCTTTATTTCGAAATGTGTTGCTACTGCTTCCTTACAAATCGTACAGTTTGTTAATCAAAAATTTGTAAGTTTTACAAAATCTATACATGTAAAGAAGAATGTCTGCTTATGTGTTGGCTCGCTTTATTCATTTTTGATTAGTTACGATCAATTTTTGCCTCATTTTAACCGACTAAAATTGAATATGAGTGAAATATTGGATGGAACTTGAGCTTTTACGACCATGTGATTAGAAAGACGAAAATTATTAAAAACTGCGTGCCATCGTTGCTGATACAATGAGAGAGAATTAGCTTATTTTTCTATCGAAATATTTATGTGTTTCCATATCGTATCAGACTGAAAAATGTATGACTATGAATCGTATTTTTTGCATAGTTATTAGAGAAGGATTACAGCAGTATCGTTCTCTCTATTGTTAGGTGCTTTACTCTCAATCTAACTGCTGGCATCGGGTACTTCCGCTAGCTGCTGAATATGCATTACTTGTAATTCAACTTTAATGTATTACATTAAACATAATATTTTTGAGTATTTTTAATGTATTACATTAAACATGATAATCAACTTTAATGTATTACAAAACATGATAATATTTTTGAGGTTTTCTTTACATACGGGTTCGTGAATTTGGAATGAATAACTACGACATTTGATGAAATATCCAGACACAGTTTATTAATTAGTATTACTCAGGACAGCTCCAAAATCCATTTTACAGTCGTCTAAGAACTACTATAAACACGCTGAAACAATCAGCGACACAGCCTTCAGGCTATTAGGCTATAATGGTGACGACAGCTTCACTGCAAAGCACCAGAGTACAGCTCCCGACTCTGCTCGATCGTTCTCGGAACTCTACGTACTATCTCGAGACTCTCCACGCTACAACTCTCGATGCCCTCGACGATACACTAGAGTACAGCTCCCGACACAGCTTTCAGGCTATTAGGCTAAAATGGTGACGACAGCTTCACTGCAAAGCGCCAGAGTACAGCTCCCGACTCTGCTCGATCGCTCTCGGAACTCTACGTACTATCTCGAGACTCACCACGCTACAACTCTCGATGCACTCGAGGATACACTAGAGTACAGCTCCCGACTCGGTTCCGTCGTTCTCGGAGCTCAAAACACTTTTAAAAGACAAAACTCGACGATGCACTAACTGTCGATGCACTCGACGACCAATTCGGCACTAGTCTACGAGACACTCGCTCACTAACTATTAACTGACTCGACTAGGCACACTGGCTGTCCGCGTACCAGCAGGGTTTATATAGCTTTTGGCTTGCATTCGAGAACATTCCGGGGCAAACCGGTACGAATTCGTTGCAGAAAGTTCTCCATCCGTCTATGGCATATTGCCAATCTTGTCGCCAAATTGGGGAATTTCTCGCCAACTATGGCAACCCTTCCTAGCATGCTTTCATGGTGTGGTGGTCTGCACTCTGGTCGCGTAGACTAGAGGTTCGTGGTTCGATTCCCGGCGAAGGCGTTGCTCATTTTTCACTTCTTTCTGTTCCAAAAAAGTCGTAATATCTCTACAATGGCGCCAGAACTGTGGTGGATGATAATTCTCCACACCAAGGATTTGGCGATTGGGTCCCGTAAAAAACACCAGTCGCCTTTTAGAAGGGGGAGTATATAAGCTATTTCTCCCGCCCTCTTAGCGTGCCTTTGTGGTGTAGTGGTCTGCACGCTGGGCGCGTATTCCAGATGTCCATGGTTCGATTCCCGGCGAAGGTGTTGCTCATTTATCATCTTGCCTGCTTCCAAAAAATACTTTATGTCTCTACAACCCTTTCTCTTGCCATTTTCTAGCAACTTTGCGGGGAAGCTATCTTACGCAGCTGGACATTTCGTAACAATGAGAAAAAGTCTGCAGTAGTCGCCGTGCTGAAATTATGCTGAAATTTACAGTGCTTCTTTATGTCATAATCTTGCTGACTAACCGACGTAAAATGATTAAATACAAATACCTGCATACGCCAAGTTCCTGAGCTGCGACACGACTCAAGATTATTAAGAAAACTGAAACTACTGTGCAGGACGTTCCATGGTACTTTTATTATAATGCACATGGATGCTTTTCAATTATTTTGCGGCTATAAAAGCCCTTTTTATGATGAAAAATAATGCATTAAAACCGAAGCAAGACTGCACGCATGGGCTGTTTGTAGTAAAAACGGAATGTTTCAATGACTGCTGTTAGGGCGAAAGCGGTTTTTATTTTCGATATATTAACATGGAATGCTGTTCGAAATTTTCTTACCCACAATGGAATTTCTGTATTGCAGCATTTTTAGAGAATTTTCTAAATTCCTAAGACATTTGTAAATTGGAATATTTATCTGAAGAAATGTCTGATTCACGAATAAACTAAGAACGACGTAAGTAATTTGTTTCGACGAAATTATTAGGACGTTTTATAGCTGTCGTAAAAGTAATGTTTTATGCTCAGAAAGAAATGATAAGAAACTCAGTTTAGCTTTAACACTCATATTATTTACAAAATTTCTCATTTCTAGTCTCAAGAGAATTTAATCCGAAAATATAAAACACATTTGAGCAATGGTATATCTACCGATGAGTTTTAAAAATGCGCAATTATTTGTTTAGTTACAGATTTAGCAGAAAAGTAAAACTGTTGCTTTATCTCTATATAGTATAATAAAAGAAAGAGTCTATCTGTGTGTGTCTTTCGTTCGTGTTGCGCCGTAAGCTAATAGACCCAGGGCTACAAAATTTGGTACATGTGTGCATGTAGACAAGAGCCAGACCACCTAGATACGATTTTTTCAAGATTCG